AGCGCTTCAAAACACAACACAAGCCCTCAATTCCATTGCAAATACTTCGTTGTGGACATGTAAATACATCAGGTATATCAAGAGCATCAGCTAGCATGTGTATATCATTTTTCTCAACACGAAATTCTGCTTTACACTCGCTTGGGTCGATTGTGTCTAAGTCAAATGGCTCGTAATCACACGGAAACGAAGGATTTTTTGAAGTAAATTGTTCCCATAGAAGCAAGAATTCATCGTCATCTATATCTCCATCATCATATGAAATCAAAAGAGCATCTCTAGTGTCTTTAAAACTGGCCATGTCTTACAAAAGTTGCCTCACAAAAGTTTGTTTACATTTTTGACAAGTGCCGCTTCGCCGTCGTGTTGCTTAAAGTTTCAATTCGTAAGCGACGCGTCAGCGTGCTCGTACCAGTCCCCCACGTTATCTGGCGACGTCGTCGCCGCAAGAAGTCTTGGTGCTTAAGGTCTCTAGTGAGGCTTTGCTTTCTTTTAACTTGAAGAAGTTATATACAGCGTTAAATAACCAGTAATTCCTAAAGAAAACTGCCATATGTTCCATACAGGTCTTTTATCTGTTTAAAGTGGGCAAATTTTCTCTTTTAAACCTGGCACTATAGCCTCTCCCCACCCCCTCCCCTCATGTTTGCATTAGTGTCAAGTGCAATTCAGTAACTTTTATCTATTTTATTTGCAGTACCTTGAAGATATTTATGAGAATTGTTCTCAATAATATATGATTACTGATGGAGGTACTTCATGATGAACACTGTCCCTTTGGACTAATGGTATGGTAGATCTCTCTACCAATACAATTGTACTAAAAGCCAGTCAGTTGCAAACAAAAGGTATGTCTGTTTTCAATACTATTTACAGTATCCATCTCATTTCTTCACACTACTCCCATTCACTCCAGAAGAACACATTGAGGATTACACGACTGTACCCTCAGTCCAAGCAGTGTGTGTAAATTGTAGACAAGAAGTCAGTGAAATCCTGTACTTTCTGTCTTAATAGCATAGAGTGGACTCTAGGTTCTAATCTTCATTTTGTCTTCTCAACAGTTTGACAATCAACCTAAAACAAGACCTTTATTGGTCAAGTTTATAAACATCTTGTCAAGCTATGGATATTGCACTGACACAGACCTGTAAGTATGACAAGTGTTTATAGCATTGTCATAGTAAAAACTATAAGAGACCTGAAGCATTCCAGTCCCTGTTGCTTTACACTCTTGGTACCCCATCAAGTTCAATACTTTGGGTTTTTACTAGATGTATCTATGTATTAGTTAATTATTTTTTCAAAGCATTAATTGTGTTACTTTATTTTCTACTTTCAGATAACAAAGGTCTACAATDCAAAACAAACACTGATGAAGGATGAAGTCAACCAAGACTAGAATAATTTTTTTGTGCTGGGGGACTGACTTACAACAGCAGTATTTCATATCAAACCATATCTCACGACGAGACTGCAAGAATGAGATTTCTTTCCTTTAAAATCCATTTATGGAGAACTTATTTAAAAGCTGTAAAGACAACAATATAGTCTTACTATAAGAAATATTTTTCTCCAGTCCCCCAGCACCAGTGGATACAGGAGAGTGTTCCTCTTTGTGTATTTTATTGTCAACATTTTATGCACACTTCTGTGTTTGTTTTAAAGCTTTCAGAACTGAAGAGACAAATTTTTTGAGTTACTCTTTCATAGGTTTATAAGGACACTCTCCTGTATCCACTGAAATTTTCTTTGAAAAAAATAAACTTCATGCCTCCCACGAGGYCCTGCCAGCACCATAAGARAWRCCACCCYWGCAGGCCTAATCTCTTTGGTAGTCTCRCTGCCCTGACTAGAGCCAACCGGTTATAAGGCCAAGACCAGCAAACCAAAGACTGCCCTGATACTGGAGACTGACTGCATGARTGTYGAACCRCCACCYACTSCAGACTCCAAGGKRRRACTCTGATGCCATTCAAGTCAGCAAWTAAGGTGAGGGTCAGTGCARATGTGAGTCTCCGGTGACCCTGCCCCACCATTCACTGGTGTGCATGGCAGTGATGTACTGGGTGATCAGTAGGCTTGAAGTGATGCTTCATTCAGACTTCTCCAAACTAAGTGATTATCAAACTGACATGGAAGACTTAAAAATCTTTTTTTCTGGGATAATATTGAGGGTTTAAATGTTGTTGGCAACACTGATAAAATGGCCTCTACCACAGATTGCAATTTAATTGAAGTTTTTTCACCAGCAAAGTGAAGACCTCAGATCCCTAAATCAATTATAACCATAA